TACTTCATCTGGTACAAATGGCATAAAAATGCTTATAAGTGCAAAGTGAAGATCCTTTAGCTAAATTATGGGGTAAACAAAATCCATTCTGAAAACAGCTTCCGGAACTTGACAGGTTGGTGCCTATTAAATGATAAACAGTATTGAGAGCAGGTGTGAAGGACTTTCGCTAGTACTCGGATTCAAATATAGTATCACTGAGCCTTCATGTATAGTGTCACGTCCTGACATTTCCCCCATGACCAGTGATGAAAACATGAGGGGCAGCCTGAAGTGTCATTTGTAATCTATGTTAGCTGTTTACGAGTGAAAAGTATCCCAAACATTCATCACAACCAAGACCATGAAACATCCCCCAAAGGAATATGAAAGAAATGCATGCCAGAGGGAATTTCATACTCTCAAGTAAAAGTAACAAATGACCCAAATACAGCAGGTGAGACAGAAAGGTGATATATGGGTAGGCAGTCTGCCTTGGCTGACCTGGCTTCAATCCCTGGTACCACATACGGTCCCCTGAGTCTCACCACCACCAGGAATGATCCTTGAGCACAAAGCCAGGAGTAAGCCCTAAGTACTGCCAGGTGTGACCAAAAATAAATAAATAAATAAATAAAATCTATATATGATGAAAGAAATGCACTGTGAAACAGAACAGACAAGATTGCATTGCCAGTAATGAGCAGTTACACCTCCCAAAGGCCAGAGAAGGGACTGGAGAGAACACGGTGCTGGAGGTGCTCTCATTGCATCAGCTGACCTTGTTTGATCCCTGGCACCACGTGTGGTGTGTGTCTCACTCCCCAGCCCTGCCAGGAGTGACCACCGAGAACAGAGCCAGGAGCAGCTAGCCCCGAGCACCGCTGGTGGCCCCAAAACAACAGTAGGTGGATAGCCACTTTAGAATGCTCTGTCGGCCTAGTAAGCCAAGAGCACAACTGGGTGTGGCTCAAAATCAAAGAAAGAAATTCTAAATTGGAATAAAGGTATGAAATAATGTTAAACTTGGAGACGTGAAACAGAATGTGAGATATTTGGATTTACTGTGTAGTTAGTACAATATTGGAACTAGTGATAAGCCTAAAATGAGGCTGAGGAACTGAGAATGTAAATCAGTCACTACAGAAAATATTTATTTGACTAAAATAAATTGAGGTCTTAAGGTAAGGCAAAAGGTAAGGCACTTGCCTTGCATGTGACCACAGCTCTGCAGTCCTGGTCCACATCCCAGCCTGCATCTCCAGGTGAGGCCCAAAAACAAAGAAGAGAAAAGGAGAGGTTATTTCAAATTGCCCATGAATCTTTCAGATAGCTGTTCTTTATTAAGAACTTGAAACTTGGGGGCTGGAGCAGGTAAGGCATTTGCCTTGCATGTGGCCGATCCCCGTTAGAATCCCCGCATCTCATATGGTCCCCCAAGTACTGCCAAGAGTAACTCCTGTGCATTGCTGGTGTGTGAGGGTGTGATCCAAAAAGCAAAAAAAAAAAAAAACCTTGAAACTTTCAGACAAGCCAGTAAGTTTCTCGATGGAAAGGAGGAAAATGGTTACTTTTTCATTCTGTGTGTTCAAATGTCAAATGTGCGTAAAACGTAACCAGTATTACCCCATCATATGGGTGGGGAAACTTGTTGGGAAAAGTGAGCTACCCCAAGACCATTAGCTAATGAGAAGGAGGACTAGTGCTCATATCTGAGTTCCTCACAGTAGTCCCTATAATCATTGTTTTCTTGATGTTAATTACAAAACTTTAAACATACTACAAAGTTGAAAAAAATTATAAGCTTATACACTCACCTCTGAGCTTCTCATTTTCCTGCATTGTTTCTCAGATACTTTTCCATGTAACCTCCCTCACTCCTTATTTTTGATATTAAATTTACTTGCAAAACCCCATAACTGGGGAGGTTCGAGCCACACCTGGCGATGCTCAGAGCTACTGCAGGTTCTGTGCTCGAGCGTCGCTCACGGTGGTGCTTGGGGGAGCACGGTGCCAGGAAACAAGCTGATTGGCCTCATGCAGGCGAGCACTTCACCCCTGTACGGTCTCCCCCATCCAGTTTGTAACAGATTGAAGAGATCTGTTTCTTCCAGACACTACTCACTCTTCCATTTAGAGTGTACAAATCAGGGACCAGAGAGATAGTACAGTAGGTCAGACACTTGCCTCGTATATGCCAACCCTGGTGTGATCCCTGGCACCACAGACGGTCCCCTGAGCACTGCTGTAAGTGATCACTGAGTTCAGAGCACATAGAGTTGGGAGTGGCCTATCGAATCCTGACACAGCAGGGAGCACCACACACACACACACACACACACACACACACGCAGAGAACGAGGAAATTTCTAATTCTTCTACATAGTGTTGTTCCCAGGTTAAACTGGCTCATGAGGCCTGCTCCTTCCCTTACAGTCCATCAGGCATCTTTCATATTGTCCATTGTTTCCTGGTGGCAATGGTGATGGTACTTACAGTTTTTTGGAGTGTTTGGTTGGTTGGGGGGCTGTGTAGGGTTCCTCCTAGCTCTATACTCAGGAATCACTCCTAGCAGGTGTCAGGAATTGACCTTGGGTGGGTCACATGCAAGGCAAGCTCCTTACCCACTGTGCGGTCTCTTCGTTTTTAAAAAGCACGGCTGAGTAGCGTTCCCTAGCAGGGATCACTCCTAGCAGATCACTTCTAGCAGTTCTGAGGTGCCAGGGAATCGAACTTGTTCGGCACGTGCAAGGCAAAAACCCTTCCCCTCTATACTGTCTCTGATCCCTAACCCACTGTTACCAGGATTCATCTATGTTCTAAAGTATCATTAATTTCTTTTTATTTCCAAATATTACTCCACTGGGGCCGGAGCAATAGTACAGCGGGTAGGGCGTTTTCCTTGCACGCAGCCGATCCAGGTTCGATCCTCAGTACCCTATGTGGTCCCCCAATACCGCCAGGAGTAATTCCTGAGTGCAAAAGCCAGGAGTAACCCCTGAGCATCGCTGGTTGTGATCCAAAAAGCAAAAAAAAAAAAAAAATGGAGCAATAGCACAGCAGTAGGGTGTTTGCCTTGTGCGCAGCCAGCCCGGCAAAGCCGGGTTTGATTCCTCCGCCCCTCGGAGAGCCTGGCAAGCTACCGAGAGTATTCAGTATGCCAAACACAGTAATAAGAAGTCTCACAATGGAGACATTACTGGGCCTGCTCGAGCAAATCAATGAAAAACAAGAGGACAGTACTCTACTGTATGGGTGCACATCACATTGCATTTATCCATTCATTGGTTGATGAACATCGAGTTGTTTCCACTTGCAGTGCTCAGGGCTTGCTCCTGGCTCTGTACTCAGGGATCATGCCTGGTGATGCTCAGGGGACCATATGGGGTGTCAGGAATTGACCCTGGGTGGGTCACATGCAAGGCAAGCTCCTTAGCCGCTGTGCGGTCTCTCCGTTTTTAAAAAGCACTGCTGAGTAGCGAGGAGCCCTCTGACCCAGAGGTTTCCCTAGACTGGAGGTTCCTTAGGCTTCCCTCTGCTCTCATTAGCATGCAGTCTCCAATCTCGCTCCTGCCTTCTCAGTTCTTTCTGTGGTCTCTTGTACTCCACACATAGCCTGCCCCCCAGTGGCCTTTACCACCCCCAGAGAGTTTATTCTAACATCCTCGTCATCATGCCACTGTCCCTACAGAGTCCATTCCCGGGCCTACCTTCCTTTCTCTCCAACACAGATCCCTATTCCAGTCCTTCTGGACATTTCCATTGCCTGTCCTTTCCTGCCTGGGTCTGTTGTCCTGCCTTAGACCTCCCCAGACTCTGTAGCCAGGAGATTTGCTTGTGTAACCCTCAGTGCTGGAGAGGCAGGGTGAATCGAGTGACCCTCTCAGTCCTCTCCCATCATTCTGCCTGTTGCTCACTCGTGTCACCACTCTGACCTACTTTCTGTCTCCCAAACCTGCCCGACCGGTTCCCATCTAAAGGACTTTGTAGTTGCTCTTCCTTCTGCTTTAAGGCACTCTCTGCCCCTCTGTCTTCACAAGGCATCGTCCAAATCATCATTCACATTTCAACACACTGTTGAACATGGAGCAGAGAAAGGCCCAGGCCCTACCCTTACCGATTCTGTTTAAACTACTGCCAGGCACTCTTCCCTGTACCCATATTGACCTTTTACTTGCCGTACCTGTAGTCATCTTGTTTGTTCTGTCCCTCACCTACCCCTTTTAAAATGTAAACTCCCAGCCTGGAGTAAGCCCTGAGCACTGCTGGGTAGAGCCCAAAACACAAACAAAACAGAAAAAAAGAAATAGTAGACTCCCTTAGGGCCTGAGATACAGCACAGAGGTGAAGTTCATACGTTGCATGTGCTGACCCGTTTTATCACAGCACTGCTTATGGTCCTCCAAGTACCTCCAGGAGCAATCCCGAGTACAGAGCCAAGAGTAATCCCCGTGTATTGCAGGTGTATCCCCCAAATTAAGGACAATGTAAACTCCCGACAGTAGGCATTGTGTCTCGCTTAGCTCTTCAGCAAGGGCTCAGTAATGGGTGTGAGCTGTCCCAGACACTGACTGGACGCTGGGATGCTAGTTGGGAAGATCCCGAACTTCCAGGTGAGTGACCCGTCCCGCGTCAGAACAAGCTACGGTGGAAACGGTTCATTTTTACTTATGTGCTGTTATCTTCTGATGAGATTGGCTCATTGTCATCGAGTGTGGGTCTTTCCTTTATGCCACTGAGAGCAGAAAAAGAACTGCCTCAGTCGTGTGAATGTGGTCAGAGCTAACTCGGGTTGCTGTCACCACTGCAGATGCCGTGTGTCGAGGAGATTGTGGCAAAGCCGTGGCCGCCATGTCTGCATAACCATGCAGCAGCTTTCCACTGGTATCCCTGCTCCTGGCCACTCACCTCTTCTGGTGCTTTAGTCCTCTTCCTTTGCAAAATGGGTTTGGGGGTTGTATTTGAAACAGGCCCGGAAAAATATGGAATTCTTAAAATGTCAACTGTTTCCCTCTTCTTAGATGTGAACGATTGGAAGAACAACTCAATGACCTAACCGAGCTCCACCAGAATGAAATCTTGAACTTGAAGCAGGAATTGGCCAGCATGGAAGAAAAAATTGCATATCAATCCTATGAACGAGCTCGGGACATCCAGGTCAGCATGAAGGATCAGGTGTCTGAGCAAAAGAAGGGTGGAGAAGAGCACAAAGTTGGTTTTCAGCTAAAGAAAGGGAGGGTGGGGGAGGGGGGTCACTGGACATAGGATTTCTATTTGTGAGCTGAGAAGGTTCCTGGAGATGGATGGCGGTGATGCTTCCACAACGTGATCAAAGGCCTTAACACTGCTGATCTCTGCATGGGAGAATGGCTGAGACCGGGGAGGGATATCAGTGTTTGAGGTCCTGGGTCCAGTCCCTGGTAGCAGCATAAAACAAACCAGGAAATGGCTGAAGTGGTCATATTTATGTTCTGTGTATTTTTAAAATTTATTTGTGGCTTGGGGGTAGGTTTTTTGAGAGGGTCACACCTGCCTCTGCTCAGAGCTTACTCCGGGCTCTGCACACAGTGACCACTTCTCATGGGAACCATGTGGGGTGTCAGGAATAGAAACCCAGTTAGCCAGCCACATGTGAAGCAAATGCTCAGCCTTCTATGCTATCTCCCCAGTGCCTATTCTGAGTATTTTTATCTCAGTAGGAAGAAAAAGAGAAACAGGAGGGACACTTCCTACCACGCTGGCCCAGGTTAAATCCCTGGCATCCCCTGTAGTCCCCCAAGCACCACCAGGAGTAACTCCTGAGCTGATTCACCAGGTGTGGTCCAAAAAAACAAGAGAAAAGAAAGAGAAATGAAGCACTGATCTGTGCTACAGCATCATACATCTGGAAAACATAGTGAGAAGCCAGTCACCAAATGCCACATGTTGAGTGATTTCTTTTTTATTGTTGCTTTGGTTTGGATTGCTTTGGATTGCTTTGGTTTGGTTTGGTTTGGTTTGGGTTTGGGGGCAGTGCTTAGGCTTACTCCTGACTCTGTGCGCTCAGGAATCACTGCTGGCAGGGCTCAGGGGATCATGTGGGATGCCAAGGATTAAACCTGGGTCGGCCGCATGCAAGGCGAGCACCCTACCCACTGTACTCTCTCTCTGGGCCCTGATTCCATTTTTATGAAGCTCCCAGACAGACAAATCTGTGATGGCAGAAAGTAGATTCGTGGCAGCTAGGAGTTCTAAGAAGCAGTTGGTGACTGGCTTTTAGGGCTAGGTGGTGGCAAAAGGCTTCTTTAGGGAGTGATAAAAATGTTCTAAAAATCTAATAGCAGTTGAGAGTTACCCAACACTGTGAATTTACTACCACTAAATTTGCATTTTAAAATGGTTAAAATGAGAAGTTTCATATTTTATTTTTACCACAATTCGTTAAAGTTCAGAAGAAAGAAAAAGAGGGAGAGCCAGGGAGCGCCCAGAGAGCTGGAGTGTTTGCCTGGGTCCGGCCGTGGCCCTGAGCACTGCCGGAGGGGACCCAGCATGGACAAGAGTCTGGGCTCAGTGGTGAAGCAGCGTGCCTGTGTGAGACCTGGGTTCCATCCCGGCACCACCACAAAAAAGTCACAGTACAGTGTGCACGCCACAGGTTGGAGGGAGCCGAGACTGAGGGAAGCCGGGCCGGCTGGGTAGGCTGCCCTTCAGTGGCGATGAGGCTTCAGAGGGCTGTGCCGTGTGGAGTTGGTGTGCTTGCTCAGGTGCAGGGAAGCGTTTCTGAGATCCCAGCATCTCGGGATCACACTGTGGGTGACTGCCTCAAGGGTCCTCTTGCACGCCTCGTGCCCAGCTTTATGACTAAAAGCGCTTTATTCTGACTGCCAGGCTCAGTTCACTGTGTTTTTTGTGCTCAGGGCTTCCTCCTGGCTCTGAGCTCAGGGATTACTCCTGGTGGACTCAGGGTGATGTGGGGTCCTGGGGATTGAACCTGGCACTCGGGTGACCCGTGTACGAGGCAAGCCTTACCAGTTGTACTCTCTCTCGAGCCCCCTTTTGGTTGTTGTTTTGAAACTCAAACCTTTGAAGTGCACATTGTCAGATAGTTTGTGAAATACCACCTGAGGCAGCAATGTTTAAGGCTGTTTCTCAGATTATGCTGTAAGAAAATAGAATATTGAACTTTTGCGGGGGTGGGGGGTATTTGGACCACACCCAGCAACGCTCAGGAATTACTCCTGGCAACCTTGGGGGACCATATTAGGTACCAGGGATCAAACCTTGATCTGCCACTCATGAGGCAAGTGCCCTACCCGCTATACTGTCCCTCCAGCCCTAAAATATTAAAACTTTTTGTCATCACAATTGGGATGAATCTTTTTTCTCATTCCCTTAGAATGCACTTAGATAGGAACATTTGGTTTCATACAAAAGCATCTTGAAATGAAGTGGTCTTAGAGAAGACAGGTAGTTCCAGAAACTTGTATTATGGCAGCGGAAAAGAATCAGAAGAATGCCCACTTGCCCTCCTCTCCAGCCCTAGAATCTGGTTTATGTTTTAGCTTTTCTTTTCTAAGGTCATTCTCTGATGGGAAGTTTCTCTTTGATTCATTCCCTAACTTGTTTTAGTCTGCAGTTACCTGACTTTCACCTCTTATCCTAGTAAATTAAACCTTTTGTTTTTGTTTTGGGGCTACATCCAGCAATGCTCAGGACTTATACATGGCTCTGTGCTCAGGGATCCCTCCTCCTGGTGGGACTTAGGGGACCATATAGGGTGCTGGAGATTGAACCTGGGTCAGCTGCTTGCAAGGCAAGCGTCCTCCCCTCTGGACTATTTCTCCAACCCCCAAATTAATACCTATTTGAAACCTGGGTCTGAGCTGAACCAGGGCTAAGGAACCAGGCTCCCCTGAGTCACATGCACTCGGTGAAAGTCACGGCCTGGGCAGGAGCAGACCCTGTAGTGTCTGATGTTGTGGCCGACAGAATAGCCTCTTCCTAGACACCAGCCAGGATAGGGCCAGAGCGTCCTTTCCACTGACAACAGAGATTTTCTTATGTTAAAAGAATGTTCACCTCATCATTGTTAGAGGTTAAGTTATAAATAACTAAATCCCTTCATTAGAAAACTGGCTGAATAAACTGATCTTTTTTTTTTAACTCTAAAATGCTTCTGTAGTAGTTGAAAAGAAAGACACAGGTTCCCATTAGTGACACAGAGAGATCACCAAAACACATCCATCTGGGTGAAAAAAGCAAGTTTTATGGATCAGTTCTTAAAGTACGAGGTTCTGTTACATTGCAATAGGAAGGAAACTCACCCCTACAGTTTGGGGGCCTCACCTGGCAGCGTGCAGGAGCTGTTCCTGGCCACAGGCACGTAAGTGCCGGATCTCCCACACGCCCCGGCCCTTGCACGTCTTCTCAGGCACGGGGGCGAGGGGGAACGAACACACCACACTGGCGGCTGCCAGAACTCCGTCCTGCCTGAAAACGTCTGTGTGGAAACACAGATGTGTGCCCCTGTGACTTAGCAAGCTGAGTGCGGGGCCTGGAGGGAGGCCGGGGTTGAGCCAGGCCTTACGCATGCAACGCCTGTGCTCCACCACTGCGGGGAGCCTTAAGGAAGAGGAGCGAAAGGCGTCTTGCCAGGGAAGTGGCCAGACCCCACTGGGGTGCCCACTGCCTCCCGTGCGGAATGGCTCCTTAGCTAGTGGACTCTGCTCGGGGCCTCTCGAACTCAGATCTCTCGCATATTTGCAATCCCCGACCGTGTTCGAGGTGTTTCTGCTTTTTGGGTTACACCCGGCGATGCACAGGGGTTACTCCTGGCTCTGCACTCAGGAGTTACTCCTGGCGGTGCTCAGGGGACCCTGTGGGATGATGAAAATAGAACCCGGGTCAGCCGCGTGCAATGCAAAGGCCCTCCCTGCCGTGCTTTCTCTCTCCAGCCCTGTGTTCGAGGTGCTTCTGGTGCCCCGAAGGGCGTGTCGCGAGCTCCTCCGGGTGCTTGAGGCCGCAGGCTGACCTGTGCCCGTTCTCGCCCGCAGGAGGCCCTGGAGGCCTGCCAGACCCGCATCTCCAAGATGGAGCTGCAGCAGCAGCAGCAGCAGGTGGTGCAGCTGGAAGGGCTGGAGAACGCCACGGCCCGGAACCTGCTGGGCAAACTCATCAACATCCTCCTGGCGGTCATGGCCGTGCTCCTGGTCTTTGTCTCCACGGTGGCCAACTGCGTGGTTCCCCTCATGAAGACTCGCAACAGGACGTTCAGCACTTTATTCCTCGTGGTCTTCCTTGCCTTTCTCTGGAAGCACTGGGACGCGCTCTTCGGCTACGTGGAGCGGTTCTTCTCGTCCCCCAGATGATGGCGGCGCCAGAGGCAGTGCGCCCCCACCCACCGGCGAGTGCATGCAGCGACCACCTAGACGGCACCTGACCTACGCTGACGTTTTCTACGACAACAGGAGTTGAGTGAATCTGTTTACATTTAGAATAATGTTTTTTTCTTCAAGAAACGCAATTGCAATAGTATTTTTTAGATTTTATCCAAGATGTTTTTTGGGCAAAAATCTTGGGTCATTTTTATGTAGCATGATTTTCCTTGGGATGCAAATCTGAAACAGTCCTTAAACAGGACCCACCACCCTGGAGCACGCTGAAGGGCATTCGAAATTGTGGCTTGAAGGACTGCACTAAACCCCACTAAAAACACGCGACAACCCGATTAGGGAAACCAGTTAACCCTAACCCTGCCGTGTCCGGGCGCCCACCTCGCCCCTCCCAGACTAACTTTACTGTGAAATCCTGCCACATTCCAGGTCTGAATTTTGGATTCAGGGTGGATGTTTCTTGTCCGTGGAAGAACACGTGGATGTCCCGGCCCTCTCACCCAAGTTGGCCATTCATGCTGACCGAGGAAGTGTGACCACTTTTGCACCTGGTCCCTTACCCCCGGCTCGGAGGCAGAATTGAGAGCGCCAGTGCCCCAAAGGGCCACCGCTCAGCCCTCCTGCAGTATTCTGAAGTAGCCCTCGAAATACTTAATTCTAAGCAAAATCCCTTGGCCGCACTTTCAAGGTTTTTTAAAATATGTGTTTAGTCACCGGTTTAAAAAACAAAAAATCCGAACAGCATACTTGAAGAATGTAATACTCAAACTCTCAGTGCTTCCTTATGGTTTCTAATAGGATTTTTTATTGTTGTTATTATTATTACCGGGTTTTTTTGGAAAGGGTTGGGAGGGTCTTTTATTTTTTCCTTCGAAATAAAGAAGTGATCTTTTTAAATGAAGAAATGTGTGGATATTTAAGTGTGCTGCTCCCTCTTGTCTTGAATCAGTTTGAGTAAAGGAAGATGTGCTGTCAGCGCGCCCTCGGACGCCTCCGTCTTGAGACGCAGCTTCAACCCCCTCCCCGACTGCCGCCACCGCTGCTTCTCGTGCCCGCCGCCCCCACCCCCCCACTTTACGGGCTTGGCTTGGTTGGCGAGGAAAGGGGTGTGCAGAACGTGGGGAGGCTGTTTCCACAGACCAGCGTGCTAGGGTAGTGATTGTTGGTTTTTTTGCCCCTAGAAAATGTACACCCGGTGACTGTTCACCGGGTTTGACTTTGGGATGAAATGAGACTGTATTATAAGAGTCATAAATAATTCCTTATGTTTCCTTAATTTATTTCTTAACACCCCCTAATAACTGAAACCAAAGTAATGTGGAATCTTCCGTCTGCATTTTGGCCCCAGCATCCTTAATTTCAAAGCTTTATTCTGTCCGCCTGAGGGAACCCACGGCAAGGGGTTCTCCCAAACGCACAGAAAAGGAAAAGTCAGGTTAGAAGGACCCAGGCCTGGGGTGGGAAATGTTTTCAGCTTCCTGTTCCTCGGGACTGACTTAGTAACATACCTGTGCCCAGTGGACTGTAGCGGGGTAGGAAGACAGACGGAGCCACGCTCTCCATCCTGAAATCAGCTCCACCGTCCGGGGCCTTTCAGAGCGTATCTCGGAAGCCTCGTGGGTCTTCTCACGTTCACAGCGTTGAGTCACGAACGCTGTTCCCTCTCGGCCTCAGTTCCGCGTCGCCTAGTGACGAGCAGGAGTCGCAGAGCATGCTTTGCCTCTGACCCCAGACCAGGAAATTCTCCCGGAGCTCGACGAGCGTTGCCTTGTCTGTCAGAGGACGGTTAACACGACAGCGCCGGCCCCCGCAGCCTCGGCAGGCTGGCTTTCTTGGCCGGCCGGCGTGTCATTTCCATGATCACGTTGATATTCTAACTCAGGTAGTCCGATCTCCACTCCACCCCCAGACGATTGTAGTGTGTTCACCTGTCAGCTCGGTCACCTCTCAGAGCCAGTGCCGGGAGCAGGGACCCGGGGGTGACGGTTCTTTTCCAAATAATTGGAGCCGATTTGTGTTCAGGCCCAGACCAAATTGTTTCCCACACCAGTGTGTATAAAAACGTTAGCTTTGCCTCAGAATATCGCAGTGGCTCTAGGCAGGAGTGCCAAATGGACACCATGACCTCAGCAGATCAGTCTCCCCAGCTCTCGGCTCCAGCCTGATCGCTCAGAGCAGGGAAGAAAGCCCACACGTGACCCAGAATGTCGTTGCAGGCCTCCAGCTCTAGGATAGAACCCATGGAGTCCCCTCCACCGTGTGGGCACTGGAATTCACTGTGATATGGGTCGAAATTGTTCCCGTTTTCCTTGGAACGGTTTCTGTCAGAGGGAGATTGTAACCTGTGCAAAGCGCCCCCCGAGCTCCCAGCCAAACAGGCCCACACTAACCCTCCATCCTCCTCTCTCCGACTGTGTGATGAAGGACCCTCAGTCTAGCTCAGGCACACAAACGCCTTTCTAGCGCTGCCGTCCCCTGATCATTCGCCCGGCCCTCCGCCATCTGCATTCACTGCTCTTGGTAGCCATGCACCTGTTTCATGCCTTCTGCCATGTTTTGCTGCCCATACTCGTTGCCTTTGAATTACTTCGCATTGTGGCTGTTCTCGAACTCTCTTGTCTCGTCCCAGCTTTCCCATAACCTTGCTCTAATGGTCTAACAAATATTCTGTTGGCGGACACTTCCCCTTAATGCTTCTTCCCTTAGAAGACTTGAATGCATTCCCCTTGAAACGAAGCATTCCTGGATGACTTGTTAGCTCTGGTGCGTGAGGCTGGCTGTGGTGTCTGGGCAACTCTGTTCAAGTAGTAGAATGACTAAGACTTTCCCTTTTGGGTGACGCCCTTGAGAGCACTTCGGTCTGCTCCAGTTTCGAGTCCTTGTGTATATCCGGGGCATCCTAGCCAGGAAGGCTTTCTGTTCCACCGGCTCCCTGGAGACGCAAAAGGAGACTCCATTTTGTACTTCACTTGACTGGGGGCTTTTCTCTACCCCCGTGCCCCTTCCCCCAGTTAAAACAAAACATCTGACAACAAGGAAAACCGTGGGGTCAAGCCTTCCTTGCTAGCCATGGCCTACAAGTGAGCATATCTTTATGCGGTCTTGACTGTATTTGGTTTTGTTTCTGATTTTCCTATTCCTTGGAGGTACAGTCTGATTACTGGATTCTGAGTGTCTCGGCGAGGCGCTGCCTTCCACCTCTGGAAATATGCATTCCAAACAAGGCCAAATACAAGGCACCTGTCCGAACCACGCAAAAGTACGGTTCCCACCCCCACCTGAAACTGGGGATTGTTTTGAATGTGGCTCTAAGAGTTAACATTTCTGTCTGTGTGTTGTGTATGCTAGGCGATTCCCTCGGTAGGATTGACTACTAGACTGTAAGTGTGTTATCCAAGTGTGTAAGAGTAAAGACTCCCTTGCACGAATTGAAAAGTTCCGAAATGACACTTGTGGACGTGCGAACGTTAACACTGTAGTTGATAGATCTTAAGCTGCTAATTGTTGAGAGAGAATTACATTTATGTTTTGTCTGGTGGCTGCAGATCCTTGGCGGCACTTTTACTGTATATACAAATTGAAATAAAGACCTCAGCCATTACCGTGGTTGGACTCGAGTTTGTTTCGCTCTTTGTTCTTGCTCACTCGCCGTCCAGTGGGCAGACGTGTTCATCTGAAAACCCCCGGCCTTTGGAAAGTGCACGTGTGTGCGTAATAGATGACTGGGCGGTTTACACATAAACATGGTTTAGACTCCCACTTCCGCCTGACTTGGACGGTAGGTCATCCATTAGGTTTTCTGGGGGGACATCGAGGCAGCACCCCCAGACGTCATCTGATTTATAGATAACCCAGAAACGGGTGAGTAAGCCCTGCCCATTAGTACAAGACTTTGGTCACACGTGTCAGGGTTGGTGAACAAACACACTTTCGTTAAAGACACAATATGTGAAGGTCTGTACACACGTCAGGCGTTGCCCAGTCTGATCCCGTCGTCTCTGCTATTGTTACAGAGGGCAGAGAGGAGTTTCTGTCAGGACTTTTCTGGAGTATCTCTGGGAGGCGTGTGGGAATCCAGAAACGTTCACCTGATTGTGACAGGGTGATGTGAGCCCTACACACTTGCTCCTCGCAGCCTTAGTCTGAGTGTGAGGCAGTCAGGACACATAACTTGCCCTTCCCTGTTAATACCCATCTTTTTTTTTTTTGGTGGGGGCGGGAGTTGGTGGTGGGGCCCACACCCATTCGTGCTCAGGGGCCACTCCTGGCTCTGCACTCAGGAATTACTCCTGGTGATGCTTGGGGGACCATATGGGATGCCGAGGATGAAACACAGGTCAGCCGCATGCAAGGAAATGCTCTCTCCGCTCGACTATTGCTCCAAGCCCTCTGTCATACCCCTCTTGATCTCACCTGTAGCTATTGGGAAAACAAGAGATGACTCTTCCGAAGCTTTTAAATTGCTGAGAATGTCCTTGAGCTTCTTGATACATAAGCAGGGTGCCATCCGCAGGGAGTTTCATGAGTAGGACCACCCTGTACTTAACTCAGGCTGGTGTTGTGCATTGCATCTCAGACATCCGTCACGTATTATTTTAAAACCTTTATTCTCTTCTGAGTACAACTTGGGAGAGAGCAGGGAGGTAGTTCGAAGGTTGGAATGTGCACTTTGTGTGCGGGAACCCCGGGCTTGAACCCCAAGCAGCATACAGTCCCTAGCGTCTTCATGCGTGACCCCCTGGCACCATGCCCCGAAGAGTCCTGTGCATCTGTAGTGTGGCACAAAAAGAATGACTTAAAAAGATAATTGGATGTCCTGAACAAATAATGGTAATCCTCACCTAGCAGCAAATGACTCCGTAAGTCCTCAAACAATGACTTTAATAACACTATCGTGAGATTATAGCAATTTTATGCACTCAGGAATCACTCCTGCCGGTGCTTGGGGGACCATCTGGGATGCCGGGGATCGAACCGGATCTGCCACATGCAAGGCAAGTGCTTTCCTGCGGTAATACTGCTCCGGTCCCAAGACACAAATATTTTAACAACCTTTCTTCTACGGAACTATTTTTTGATATTCCGCTTAACCATCCTGTTGTAACAAGCAATCTGTAATCAATTGTTTTGTGCCTGTGGGAAGGGCGGGTAGTGGGAAGCAGTGTGAAGGGAAGGTCACACTGGCGGTGGCACTGTGTCAGAACATTGAATGCCCGAAACAATTGTACTGCGAACAGTGTTGTAAATCACAGTGTTGAAATAAAATGATTTTAAAAAAGAATAACGGCAATCCACGTCATGGAATACCCCTTGGCAATTAAACTTAATTTTTTCTTTTGGGGTCACACCCAGCAATGCACAGGGGGTTACTCCTGGCTCTGCACTCAGGAATTACTCCTGGCGGTGCTCAGGGGACCAGATAGGATGCTGGGAATCGAACCCGGGTCGCCGCGTGCAAGGCAAACGCCCTCCCCTCTGTACTATCACTCCAGCCCCACTAATTTTTTTTTTAACGGACCCAACAGATAGCCCGAAGCTTGAGCACATGTTTGCATGCTGGAGTCAGGGTCAATGCCAGCATTACAGAGTCCCCAAAGCATCCCTGGGAGCCCCCCCCCGACATAGAACCAGGAAGAGCCCCCAAGCATCCCAGGATGTACCCCAGAAACCCAAAGGAAAAGAAAACCCCCATTGAGGAAATGTGGATGGAATTCCTACCGCCAGATCCCACTAAGCCATCTTCCCTTTAGAGGGACCCTGGACGGCCACGTGGCTGTCCTGCTGTCAGAGGGGACGTGCAGAGGGCCATCTGCAGCGGTTGCTGCAGCCTGGCCAGTCAGCCAGCCTGAGCCGGGAGACGCTGAATCGACAGACGGGACGTGGTGGAACAGAACATGTGTGGCAACAAGGGACCCTGCCAGGCTGGACAGGCCCCAGGGAGGAAGCAGGAGCGTGTGCTGAGAGGCCGGGGCGGGAGAG